ATGCTAGTCATCATCCCAGCCGGGACGATAAGGATGAGTGATTGTGAGTGAGTCAAAAATATGTTCCACCGACTGCACCATGCCATTGTGTTAAATTACAATAAGCAAGAAGCAAAGAAGCCAATCAAAATTTTTATTCCACACCTGTCAAAGGCAGTACGAATAATTACATTTTTCAAACTTGATCCACACTCCAGTCCTATATTTTCTCAATTAGGACTAATTGAAATCATGGATCTGGTGTCTTTTCATACACTGTACTGCCCATTTTAACGAGTGATAGCGTAGTGAGAATGAGTTATGGCAGTTGATTAGGGAAGACATGAAATTCACTCGGTCAGTCAGTCAGTCGATGGGTCGTAAACAATTTTTTCAAACCAAAGGCTGTCAAAGAGTAATGATGTGATCTTTGGTGTTAAATCAGGGTTTGAAATAATGGCCGGTCAACGGACAGTGTCTGGTGAAAAATTGGTTTTGTCCAGTCAAATCTTTGGATGACTGGACATTTTGTCCAGCTGATTACACTTCAAAGGAAAATTTGTTTCAGAGCTAGTGCTATATTTCATTGTACATTATTTGTGTCAGCGAAAGAAAAAAAGCAAGCAAACGAAAGATGGGTCTTCCAGAGTAGTGTGTCTATTGGTGTTTACGTTAATACAGTCAAATTTTCTCTAACGGCTACCTCTCTACGTTGGCCACTGCAACTTTTTTATCCTGGTGGACAGTCCATACATTTAATCAACGACCAGTTCTCCACAACGGCAATGGCCATTAAAGTACGTCCCAACTGCCAAAAATAACCTTTTGCCAACAGCCAGTTTAACAACTGATGAGTGGTGTATACAAAACCTTCTTTTTAGCACGTCTTTAGTCTCTGTTTCTGTTTAGTTTCTGTTTTTATAGATAAATTTTGATAGTGTTATGTATTTACATGCTAAAACAAGCATTTTTAAAGGTACAAAATGTTGCACCCCCCAAAAATAGTGTCATATCACACCCCTACCTCCCCATAATGGGCACCTCTCTGCAACAGCCACTTTCCTCTGTCCCTAAGGTGGCGATTGTCGGGAGGTTTGACTTTAATCCTTCTTGTGACCCAAGTCTTAAGGACAGAACCATCAATCAGAATACGCCCTTGACTCGCTAGGGTAATTTTAAAGGCAAGGAGACGTAAAAGGTCATCATTTACTACTAAGACCTTTGACAATTAATTTTCTTCTCACGTATATCATCTAAACACTAATTATTATTATACCAGAGGCTAGCATCAAAATCAACTTACTGTATCGATCGTGTAAGAACTAACAATGGCAAATTTAGCTCGCACTTCTTTGGTCCTTCTGTTTGGAATAATTTGGACGAAGAATTAAAAAAGTTTATCCTTCTGTTCCTTTAAGTATTAGCTATGACTAAACATTTCTTAAAATTAGTACTTTTTTTATTATAATGCTTAATGCTGACTTAGTAAAAGTGTATTAATTTTTTTCTTTCCTCTGAGCTTGAAATTCAGCTTGTTTAGTTTTCTTACTGTTCTGTGTAGTTTTCTTGCCCAATTAAGTTAATTGAAGGGATGAGTCCAAAACCATGCTAAGTGACGATTTGGGTGAAAAAAAAAAATTCTCGCGAAAGGGCTTGAATTTTTGCATGTGGTCTTCAATGTAATAGAAAAACGCGGCCCTGTATTTTTGTC